AATGTTCAATTTAACAAACGTATAAGGAGATCCATTTTCCTAATATACGGGAGTTCAGGACACTTAGCAATGATTTGTGGTCCACTTATTGAAAGACTTTAACTTTTTATGGGAAACCTTCGAAACTCTTTTTTCTTTATCTTTAGATTACTTACTATCCCACTCAATAACTGGCATAACATTGTCAGCCAACTATTTACGGCAAGTGACCACCGCAAAAGCCATAGTATTGTCAATACTGGTGCCACAAAGTTCTTGCACCACAATACGAACGCCGATATGCAGTTCTACTAGATGACTTGTCGTTGATATGCAAACGCTTAGACATGATTACCGTACCTATAATAATATCCCAACGGTTTTTACCCTCCATTCCCGCCCATCCGCACGAGGGGCGCAGTCCGCATGACGTACGGAACCAATATTTTAAATTTTTTGTGCCGAGTCACGATAGGCAGGAGTTTGTTAAGTGTTGAGATCTAAAACTGTTCAGCTACAGAACTAAATTCATCAGCTGATTTTATGTATTTATGTCAATAATTCACTTATTGAGAGAGGAGAGTATCGCTTTCTTAATGCTGAAAAGCGGATCTGATATATCAAACGTGCTGGAATGAGAGTTAAAATCCTGGCATAAGCAACGGAGTGGGTCATGCAATTCAAAATTGGTTTTACAAGCTTTCAGAAATATGGGACAAAAGTGTCTTGATACGCGTGAGGGAACATTAAAGCTTACATCAGCCAGAAGAGACGGACTTGAAATTGAGCCTGTCAGTAATTTAACCATAAAAATTATACCAAGCATTTCCCTGCGACTGGCAAGTGTAGGAAGATTAATAAGTTTTAAGCGACTCGTATAAGGTGGAAGACTATATTGAGAATCCCATCGGAAATTTCTTAAAGCAAAAAGTAGGAATTGTTTTTGAATTGATTCTATCTTGTCTGAGTAAATTTGATACCTTGGATTCCAAACCACCGAGCCGTATTCCAGAATCGGCCTAACTAATGTTGTAAACAGGGTTTTAGTGATATAAGGGTCACTAAATTCTTTTGACCATCGCTTCACAAATGCAAGTACACCTTTAGCCTTGTTGACTGTCACATTAATGTGAAGATTAAAATTAAGCTTAGGATCCAATGTGATACCAAGGTCCACAAAATTGTATACCTGTTCCAGGTTATGGTTACCTATTATATAAGAAACTGGCAGAACAGCTCTTCGCGAGAAGCACATTACTTTACATTTCTTAAGATTTAGAGGCATAAGATCTACTTTACACCAGTAAGCCATGCTGTTTAAGTCTGATTGTAGCAAAGACCTTTCTTCAATTGAAACGTACGATTTATAAAGTTTTACATCATCTGCATACATTAAAATTTTGGAGAATTTTATATCTGTAGAAATATCGTTTATAAAAAGCAAGAACAGAATCGGGCCTAGGTGGTTACCCTGAGGGACTCCTGAAGTAACATCAATGACGTCAGAGATAGTATTTCTAAACAATACCCTTTGTGATCTATCATAGAGGTATGAAGAGATCCAACGTAGAAAATTAGGTGGAAGACCAAGAAGATCAAGTTTATAGATGAGCAACGAGCTTTGTCAAATGCTTTACTGAAATCAGTATATATAACATCAACAGTTTTGCTCTCACTAAATGCTTTTGAGATATAGGATGTTAATTCAAGTAAATTTGTAGAAGTTGATTTGCCCTTGCAAAATCCATGTTGACTGTATGAAATGCTTGAAGTGATAGAATGCGTCAACCGATTTGTTATAATTGCTTCAAATAATTTAGGAATTGCAGAAAGCTTAGCTATGCTCCGGTAGTTCTCCACTGAAGACCTGCTACCGCTTTTATGTAAGGGGGTTATGAACGATTCCTTCCATACAGTTGGAAAAACGCCCTCTTTAAGAGACAAATTAAATAAGGCTGTTAACGGCTCATAGAGATAATCAGCACAATTTCTAAGAAAACAAGTGGGGATCAGGTACCTAGAGACCGATAAAACGAACGCACCCAATCCAGTCACGGCGACTACGCTTACACTAACTGCAGTTCTTTTAAATGCGTGAGTGCCATTTTTCAAATTTTCATTTTTCTAATTTTTTGCATATTGCCAGCTTTTTCGTTTTCTTGTTTTGTTTTCACGTAATACGAGTATGTAAGTAGTACCTACGCATGCGTAAGACGGACGCCAACATTTCGCCTTGGCACATTATTAATAAAATGCAAATTCATTTTCGCAATATTACTTTTGCAGCTTTTACTTGCGCTGAATATTTATTGAATACGCACACTTGTATGTATGTGAAGAGGGAAGAACATGTAATTTGTTGCTACCATTGTACGACATGTACGTGCTTGGTCAGCGTCAAGTCAATCAAAATGAGAAATGTGAAATTTCTATTCTGCAAAAATTCTATTATTTCTGTTTCGTTGCAAGCTTTTTTGCAACGCCCGAACCCAATTAAAAGTCAGGAATTTTGCTTTCCAGCAGTATAAAATATATTAACTTCAAAATTGTATAGAAATTCGCGTCCGTCGCGTTCAACTTATTGGTACATACAATTTCTCCGTTCTTCTCCTATTTCCATTTTGACATTTCTATTAACCCTACAGTAAGCATGTAAGCTTCATACGTAAAAAACACAACATGCCGGCCTCCTTGATGTACCGGCAGGTCATCAACCATTAATTTCATCTTGATGCAACCATTCTTCGTACGCACTTCAGCAACACGCACGGCGCCAGCTTCATCTGGTACGACCCGCTCAACACGGCCCATCATCCAATGCTTTGGCGGAGCGTTGTCTTCAGCTACTAACACCAAGTCACCTACTGCCAAATTACGTTGCGGTTTAATCCACTTCGCCTTGCGTTGCATATCCTGCAGGTATTCTTTGCTCCATCGAGCCCAGAAATGCTGCTTCATGACTGTCAGACGTTGCCATTGATCTCTAAGACTGAACTTTGCTGGTTCTAGTAGTGGTTCTGCTAATACATCCGGTGTGCTACCAACCAGAAAATGCGCTGGTGTTAGCACTTCTTCGTCATTAGGATCGGCCGAACAGGTGCACAACGGCCGCGAATTCAAAATCGCCTCGATTTCTGTGGTTATTGTGCACAACTCTTCGAACGTAAAGTGTGCATTACCCAACGTACGCGTAAGGTGGTATTTAGCCGATTTCACCGCCGCCTCCCACAGCCCGACAAAATGTGGGGAGCGCGGCGGTATATGGTGCCATGCAATGCCCTTTACTGCGCAGAACTCGCTTATCTTGTGCTGCTGTTGTTGGGAGAAGAACATCTGTTTCCACTCTTGCATTTCTCTCCGAGCACCCACAAAGTTAGTGCCGTTGTCACAGTAAAGGTGGTGACATAAGCCTCTTCGCGCCACAAACCGCTTGAGCGCTGCCATAAACGCCTTTGTACTGAGGTCGGATACCACCTCAATATGTACCGCCTTGGTTGAAAAACAAACCATGATCGCCAAATAGCTTTTCACAGTGCGTGCTCCTCGAAGTCGGACGGTGGTGAGAATAGGTCCACAAAAGTCAACACCAGTGGAGTAAAACGGCCTTGTTACCGCTACGCGTCTTGCTGGCAAATGCCCCATAATTTGTTCACAAAGTTTGGGCCTGGAATGAAAGCAAAGCAAACATTGGGTGGTTACCTGTCTTACCAGCCTTCTCGCATTCACGACCCAGCACTGTTGCCTCAATAACGACATCAACGCTTGCGTACCCACATGCATGTTGGTTTCGTGCAGATGTCGTATATAAGTCCGCACAATTAGACTTCCAGGGGGCAACACAATTGGAAACTTCGCCTCATATGGTAGTTGCGATCTGGCGAGCCGGCCTCCGACGCGCATCATGGAAACTCCAAAGCTTGAAGCCAGGAACACACTAAGGTTTTTTAATTTGCTGGCGGGAGGTAATTCTTTGCCTCGCGCTAATAGTTTGATCTCCACTTCAAAGTATTCCTGTTGTATGCAGTACATGATGCGCACCCACGCTTCTCTCAACAGCTCCGCTGTCAGCATCGGTTCATCACCGCTGGTAACCAAGGTCTCGCGATTGGTTTTGCGCCGAAAGAAGTACAACAGATATGCCACTTTTCGCTGTATCTGCCCAAAATTACTATGCGACTCCAACCACCGCAGCACCTGATTTTTTCGATGCTCGATGGGTAGTGCCACTGCTCTCCTTTGTTCTATGTTTATTTCAGATGCGTCGCTCCGAAATCTGTTCGGTGGCCATTTGTCACACGTTTGCCTCAAAAACGCTGGGCCAGTAAACCAACAAGTCTCGATTAGCTCATCTGCATATGCGCCGCGAGATATAACATCCGCTGGGTTACTCTTGGTTGGAACATGCCTCCATAGTGCATTTTCGTCCACTCTTGAATTGTTGCCACTCTGTTCGCAACGAAAATTGACCACTCCGTTGGATGCTTACTTAACCAATTTAGTACGATTTCGCTATCTGTCCACAAATAAATTGCATTCAATGAAACGACCAAGTTTTCTTGGGTTTTGGTTAATAACTTGGCCAATAATTCAGCTCCAAGTAATTCCAATCGTGGTAGCGACTTAGTTCTTAATGATGCCACTCTGGACTTGGCGCTCCACAGCGCCACCGTAACCTCGTCCAGCTCATTGACGGTGCGAATGTACACGCATGCCCCATAAGCCCGCAGCGACGCATCACAAAATGCGTGTAATTCGACTCGGGCAGGACCATTTTTCGCCAAAATATATCGTGGTACTCGTATATCTTTGACCAAAGGCAGTTTCTCGCGAAATCTGATCCACTGAGCGTTATCCTCCAATGGTAGGGATTCATCCCAATGCACCTTTATAATCCACAGATTTTGCAAAAAGATCTTAGCCTTTACGATTATGGGGTTTATTAGACCGAGAGGATCAAACAGACTCGCAATCTCCGCCAGCACAATCCGTTTTGTCACCGGTTTATCCATTTTTAGCTCCGGTCAATCATAACGAAACACATCGGAAGTGGGCTCCCATATAATACCGAGAGTTTTGATGATTTCGGCATCGTTCATACGCAGTGGCTTCTCTTGATCATCCGATGGCACTTTCTTCAAAAATTCACTATTATTCGAGTACCATTTACGTAGCTCAAACCCTGCAGAACTTAAAATCTCGCTGACCTCCGAGTAAATTTGTTGTAGCTGCTCATCGGAGTCTGCACCTGATATCAGATCGTCCATATACAAATCTGATAAAACCTTGTTTGCACCATATGGAAACTTCTCTGCGCACTGTTCACCAAGTGCCTTTACACATCTTGTCGCCAGATATGGCGCGGACGCCGTTCCGTACGTGATCGTCAATAAGCGATATACTTCAATATCTTCATTTGGGGTTGGCCGCCACAATATACATTGATAAAATGAATCCTCTTCACTCACCCAGGCTTGCAGATACATTTTCGTCACATCCGCTGTTATCGCATACTTATAGCATCGAAAGCGCAACACGATCGCTAGCAAGTCATCTTGTAGAATGGGACCTTTGCACATTACATCATTCAAAGAGAGCCCCGATGAGGTCTTACAACTGCAGTCAAACACTACCCACAGTTTAGTACTTGTAGATTCTGGCCGTAACACAAACGTATGCGGTGCAAGGTACTTTACCTTTTCCCTGGAATCCCTTGGTACCAGTGCCATATGCCCCAACGCCAAATATTCCTCTATGAATGCATTATACATTTTTTCGATTACTGGATTATTCCTTAGTCTCTTTTCAAGGAGCAAGAATTGCCGTAATGCCGCTTGATTTGAGGCGCCTAGCTCAGCGACATTTTCTTTAAATGGAATCCTTACCACGAAGCGCCCAGTGTGATCACGTCTAGATTCTTTGATAAAAATCTCTTCACACAGTGCCTCGTCCGCTGTTGGAAACAGTGTTTTTGCATCAACCTGTTCCATCAGCCAAAATTTCTCTACAAGGGCCGTCAGTTCCTCTTGAACACCTGGTTGCTTGGATGATGTCATCATTAAGCTGCTCCTAAGCCTCTCGTTGGAGTCGGCTCGATTTGTCACACCTGACACGACCCAACCCAGCACAGTTTTCTGCAATCGCGGGAGATTCGCTTTCAGCGTAATTCGGCCAACCGATAATAAGTCCCAAAAGATTTCTGCGCCTAACAGTACGTCTATACGGCCAGGCTTGTTGAAATTCGGATCTGCCAATGATATGTTACTAGGGATGCCCCAATCATCTGCATTCATAAATTGATCTGGCTTAAACGACGTTATTTTTGGCAACACATAAAACTCAAGTGATGTCTCGTAACCACCAATCCTTGATTTGACGCTTGCCTGCACTTTTCTTGTAATATTTGTGCCACTGTCTGCAATGCTGTGCGCAGTCATGATGCATGAAGTCCATTTAAGCTTTAGTCTCTGCATAAGCGGTTCGCACATCAAATTTAGTTGGGTCGCTGAATCCAAAAGCGCACGAGCTTGGATTTCCGGTCCATTTCTCCCCTTGATACCAATTACCGCCGTTGCCAAAATAACATCCGCGCCTTCATTTTGCATCGTAGCATGCACAGCAACTTGACTTACCGTAGCAGCTTGCGTCGTGCCTGGTGCGTCGATCGTCTTCACCTCTACCTTGTTTTTATGCAGCATTTTATGGTGGTCACCACCGCACTCTATACACCGTTTCGCTTGACAGCTACTGGCCTTATGCCCACTTTGCAAACACACGAAACACAGCCTCAAATGTCGTGCCGTTTTGCGCCTCTGCGGAACCTTCTGAGCCTCAAATTTACGGCAGCTTTCTACGTTGTGCCCGTCCTTTCGACAAACTTCGCATCCACCTTTCTCTATAGCCAAAACGTTTTTTTTACAACCAACCGCCTTGCGATTATCTTTGCGACTAGCTTTGCTTCCATCGTCCTCGTTCTCGCCACAGCGTGCCGTTCTTGTCTCTCGAGCCTCCATATTTTCACATCTCTTAGTCAACACTGCAGAGCATTCATCCCAAGTGGATAGCCTTGTATAGTCGATAGATTCCTCCCACTTTGCCAAGGATTCCTCGTCGTTCTTTCGTTGCTACAAGATAGATGATCATAGCATTAGTTATGTCTTTATAATTACCAAACGACAGCATCGCGTTTAAATGAGTGTTCACTGAGTCAATCAATTCCCGCAAATCGCCCGAGCTCGACACCTTTTTCCCAGAAAATAACGCCGCAATATGTTCCTCTAACATTAAATTTTTTTTTATCGAAGTTACTCCTCAGCCGGTCAAGCGCCTTCTTATAATTTAAACTGGTAATCTCGAATTCATCAATGGCATGAAGTGCTCGTGCGGATAAATTATCTTTAAGAATTACAAACCGCTCGCAATCGTCCAAGGTTTCATCTTGATTCACCATCTTATGGAAAATCGCCATAAATTTCGGAAACTCCGAGTATTTTCCATCGAATGTTGGTAGTTTTATATGACGCCTCATTGACGATTGCGGAATCGCCGCCGTTGTAAGGTTAAGCGCACTTGCCTCGGCATCAACCCGACTTGCAGCCAGCTTTTCTTTTATTTTCGCCTTAGCTGCAACGTAAATATCCTCGATGTCTGCCATTGCCTTCTCGTGGGACTCACATGCAGTTGGAGTACACAGTCGAAGTATGCTGGTACTAATCGACAATGCCTGCTTGAAGTAGGCTTCCAAAATATCTAACCTGCAACCCAGCTCCTCGATAGGAACATTCTTCTTGCTGACCGCTGTTTTAATTCGAGTTATATTTCCCTTGGTCGACGAGCGCAATTGTTTATACTCCGACAATTTTTCAGCTTTGGTCAGATCAACCTGTTGCTCCATTTCATCTTCATTACCCATATTTCTTTGTTACTTTGCAAGAATTACTCCAAAAAATTTTAAGAAATATTCGGCTCTTGTCGTCTTTTTTTGCAATTTAACTCTTTTTTTTCCAAGTGTAAATTAAGATGCGCTCGATCATACGATCCAACAATAGGAAACTGCCGTTGCTAAATCTTTTGTTTCTTGTTTTCTAGTTCTTTCGATTACCGCTGACTGAGAACTTCTCTGTCTGCGTCGACGCTTCGCTGCCAACCTCAACTCCAACACGTTCACGTGTTCGTCGTATGCACCGCTTTTAATAAACTGAAGCTGCTGACGTTCCTTCGTTGTTGTTGCTCGAAGAATTTGCAATCGAATTCTACGTACATAGTACATGCATATGTACCACCAATAAGTTCTTGTTCACGCGTTAACTTACGAAGTTTGCTTCCTATGACGATTTGAATTTCCTCGCCAGAATCCTGGTCACGGCACCAATGTTTCGTTGCAAGCTTTTTTGCAACGCCCGAGCCCAATTAAAAGTCAGGAATTTTGCTTTCCAGCAGTATAAAATATATTAACTTCAAAATTGTATAGAAATTCGCGTCCGTCGCGTTCAACTTATTAGTACATACAATTTCTCCGTTCTTCTCCTATTTCCATTTTGACATTTCTATTAACCCTACAGTAAGCATGTAAGCTTCATACGTAAAAAACACAACAATTTCGCTTAATCTTTTTATTTTATTTATGTGAGTATGTAGTTCTATTTGTGCGAACTCGTAGACAATGCTTAGAGTATTTGCCAAAAGTGCCAATCATCTACAAAAACTACAATGTAAACAGCGCCCCTCCGTCCGTCCGTCCGTCTCTGTTTTTGGTGGCACCAACCTTGGCGGCAATAGGCTCGATTGCTATGTGCGTAAAATTCGCAATATGATATTGCAAATATGTACTTGCAAGAATTTATAGCGGCTGCATATGTGGAGTTATTGATCGACGCTCTGCTTCACAGAATTGTGTTATTACCCTGCAGTGAAAAATTATCAATTGTTAAAACGAACCAACTTATAGTTAGCTTTTTGGCGAGATTTCGATTAATACCTCACTTTTAATTAGCTATGACAAAACCAACTTAAAGTGAATTGTAAAGTCGTGCAGGAGTCATGCAGACGCAATCGGGAGTTGGTTTTCTTTAGAAGTTTCTATTAAATATCCTCATACAAAAATTACTTTCAATACACTTTTTTTCTGAACTTCGCAGATTCTTTTTCATATTCAGGACAAATAAAAGGAAGATCGAAATTTAATACTATCATTTTGAAGTTATGTCTGACGGTGTTCGAATATGGGGCCACCCAGAGCAGAATATGTAAACAAATATGAAATGTAATAAAATAAAGTAAATAAATAAGTAAATAAAAAAGTAAAAAAACAAAAAAATATTTTGTTTTTCTTATTGATGTTTTATGTCCAAAAGAAGTTAGTTACAAGTTAGTTGACATGTAATGCAGAGGTATCCAGGTCTGACTTTTTTGCGGCCATCGCCCCACAAAAGTAGTTAGCTTTTTTCGAACAAAATACACAGTTAATAGTTAGCACTAGTGTTCGCGTAAACAGACTAAAGTTAGGTATAAGCTAACGTTACTCCCTGCAGGGTAGGTATTGGAAAATACCAAATGTTTTAGTTCATTTGTTGGAAAAATTATTTCGCTGGTCACAATCGGCATTGATTTCCAAGAAGTAAAAGAAAGTTTAGGATATTAGGTCAAAAAATATGAAGAGTGCAAGCACCATGGCTGTCCAGAGCGAAGCTGTTTTCAAAGATATCAACGTGCTGAAAAATTTATCGGCTATTGGTGCATATGGATGTGAGAATGCCCGCTGGGGACAGCCATTCAAAAATTCTTAAAATAATGAATAATCTGATGAGTAGTGTCTCAAAACGTTTTCCTCTGGTGGATCTGCGGTCTGAGGATTCGTTTATCTAAGTCTTAGCTGTAGCTCTGTAGCTTGAGTACTACATATTTCTTACCACTTAGGACCGTCTCCAATTTGAGGAGCTACATATAAAAGATCGGGTATGATGAGAAATTTATAAGCAAAACGTGATTTTTGCCTTCCGAGCGATGACTCCGCTTTTTAATCGCCTACCGAGCCCAAAGCAGCACCAGTTTGAAAGAGCCATACTTCGCTTTACCATCTGTCCGCAATTTTTATTTGTGCTGATCTTGGATTATAGGTAGAAATAGACTGTACTAATCTGGACGAATGTGAAGGTTTTGCTCAATTCTACGTATTCGCATTTCGGGGATCCCATATTTAGACCTGTCATCGTAGAGACAGTTTCCTTTACTTTTCCTTTGCATTTTCCTGGATTTTACGCACTTTGCAAATCTGCTAAATTTTTTAAGAGCTTCAGTCTTTCACACAGTATCCTCTGTAGTAGTATTTGCATCAGATAAAGTTCACGAGGTTTCAATCTTTAGACCTGCATGCATCAGCCTCAACAGATATTTCCCACCGGCAAAGCCTAGACTTTATTTTGTCCACTCGCGGGTCTTTGTTGTTGTGTTTAAGCCCCTTTAAGTAGTGCTGTTCTCATCTCATCTGGGTGTAGTAGAAGGACGCAAGCATCGTCCATATGCCCGTAAAACGCGTTGATTAATGTTCCTCTGGACATTTCCATTTTCGTTTCTGCAGGAACTAGCCCCGGTATTGAAACCATTTGAATGCTGCTTTATTTTCTAATAGAATTTTTGGGACTGGCATATATTTTTTTTTCTGTTTTCTATCAGTTGACAAGAAGTCTCTCCTCCCTCCTCCTCTGACGGCATTGTTCAATTGTTGCTCGCAATCGTGCAGCGACTCAACAGTCTTCGAGTGGGAAATTCGTCGACTGCAGCTCTTCGACGGCGAACTATAGTCGCCCTGCCTGGCGCACGTTTTTCATTGCAAACTGGCATTGGGGACCTTAGCTACCAAAACGGAATGTTTGCGAGTCGATGTCACCTCTTTGGATGGTGTCCACGTCAATTACACTTGAAGTGTATGTTCCACATACAATATGTTCAATTAAATTTTTCATTCTTTGATCGGAGTTCACCTAAGGTGCTTTGTAAATTCTTCAATGCTGGTGTCTATTACTACTAATGGCGGCGAAATCGATTGATCGACGAAACCATCCCGTTTCTTTAGCGAATCCTAGCAGACCTACCAGTGGACTTTTCCTCAAGCAATGTAGGCTCTCGAATAACTGGTCACCCAGAAATTTGAGGCGTTTTCCACGGAGTGCTCGGAAATCGCAGAGAATGTCGCAGAGAAATCGTTATATAGGGCCCCGAACCTGGCGGCCATATGGGCAATGATCCCTTGTCCCGTTGGTATTCCTTTGAGAAGCCTTAAATTGGCTTTGAGAGCTTTAAAAAACTCCGTGTTCTTCGTTCGTCGAACCGTGGCCAGAGCAAGGCCGATACCGCGCAGGTGTGTAGATTATTAAACCTACGGTTGGCGGCTTCCCTAGTCACTCTTTCAACTTCTGAAGACAGAAATCTCAGAGAAGGTTTTACGATCTAGATAGCTTTACCGAGTCTGATCTCAGATCCCATTCAAGCACACTCGCCCGCTTGCTCGTTACGCGGTACACTGCTATGTCCCGGGACCCAGTACAGATTGATTATGTGTTGTTGTACAAATTGTAGGGGTCTTCGCCATTTTCTAACGGATATCAAGTTAGTCGTTGCACACCCTAAGGCTTTGATGGCAGCCAGTCTATGTCAAAAACGAAGGCAAGTTTAGATGGAGCTATGCAGGTCGATCGTGCTCACCAGCCTTGCCACCATGTCGATTGCATAAATATATCTCTCGCCGGAAAACGCTGCAGTGATCTGTGAGCCTATAGGACTCTCTTAGAAATAACTCCTGGGAGAAGACACCAGATCCTGCTCGTTTGTATATTTTACAGTCGTCCATGAAAATGGAGATTTCGTCATTGTTGAGCCCAATATTAAACTCCCCGTTACTTCCGGCTAATACAAATTCTTAGTGCCAAGTATTCGAATCCGAATGATTCGCTTTTCAAATCGCAATAAAAATGAAATACCTGTGAAAAGTTTCTTGCACAAAAGAAGCTGTTTCTCTGTTTGTTTCGATTATCTGCAATTCCTTCCATTCGTGAGAATTATTCCAATACAAATCTTGACTTTGATCGCCAAAGTTCTTACGTGTCACATTGCTTTCGTCATGTGCACGGATATAACTTCATCACAGGTACGAGTATGTACTCGCAACTCAAACTCACATGCATTTAACCCCTGAAATATTTTGTTTCACACTTTGCGAAGGTTCCATAATCTTTTGTTTACTCTACAACAATTAATTTAAACATTTTCACACTTTTCATTAATAAATATTATGTCAAAACAATCACACCGTACGGCGTTAAAAGCAGCCAGCACAGCATGAAGTCAGAGAACAATGCAGTTTACCGAAAGTTACAACAAAAAAAACAGAAATTAAATAAAAAACGCAAAACACCCCGAAAATGATTAATGATTTTGATGGCGCTTGAGGTTCTGCATTCAAAGTGGCCTCATCGGTTGCCTCATTGGTTGTTAAATCAAAAAAAATAATGCATTAAAAGAAAGAAGAAGTCATTAAGCAAAGCAATACTTTATGTAAATATTAAATTTCTGAACAATTATTTTAATTCGCTGTAACTGCGTGTTAACCCCTTTGTAGGCAGGCGTTGAGCTAAAACGCTGTGGGTCCTGTGAGAGAACTTAATTGAAACGTATCGTTGCTCTACCGGGAGCGTCTGTGATAAGTATGGCTTGCATGCGTATGCGAATCGCGGTAACCGTAAACTGTGTGTCAGACATGACATTTGCTGTCAACTATGACATTTGTTTGTCGCTACGAAAAATTAGTCATTTAAATGTCATTATTATAATGTATCTGCTTCGGCAGTAATCCAAACTATGAATAAGTTTTTTTGGCATATGCAGGTAGTTCTATGTATTTGACTTCAGCTACGTATG